GAGGAGGAGGAGGAGGAGGTGAAGGGGCGTGAGGGCAAATAAAGGAGGGCACACACACGTATAACAGGGTGATGTCGACGGCGGACAATAAGCAGGTACAAAGAGCAATCAAACACACACACACACACACACACACACACACACACACACACACACACACACACACACACACACACACACACACACACACACACACACAAAAGCACGCGACGCCCCAGCACCCGGCGTTGCATACCTGGGTTTGCGTGCTGGGCGTCCTGCGCAGCCTTGAGAAGGGCGTTCTTGAGGTCGCGCTTGTACAGATCGCCGGCCAGCTCCGCCGCCGCCTTGAACGTGTGGTACGCCTCCGTCCGCTGATTGTTTTGCTCTGCAGGGTGGGGGCGTGGTTGCATGTGGTGTGTGTATGTGTGTATGTGTGTATGTGTGTATGTGTGCATTTGGTGTGTGTGTATGTGTGTATGTGCGTGTGCGTGTATGCATGTGTGCATGTGTGCATGTGTGTGTATGTGTGTTTGGGGAATTAACTCGTGAGCGCGACATCTTGTGCCCACAGGCTGCGCAAAAGTGACACATAGACAAAGACAAGCCTTCGACCAATCCACGATAACAGCAAAGCAGCCACGACTGCCTGCCAGCACCTTGTGCCTGTGCCTTGAGGATGGTGAGGTAAAGGGTCCACTCCCTGCTCTCTGCGAGTTCAGCAGCATCGAGTCCCGCCAGCGCAGAGTCGAGGGCTTCGTTGACGTCGCCGAGCTCCAGGTAGCAGCGGCCAAGCTCGTGGTGCAGCCACGCCGCCGTCAGGTCCCCAATTTGCATCCCGGCCGCTTGCACCCACGCAGACGCAGCCTGCAGGTGACACAAGGCACGTTGCGCGCGCGTGGCGTGTGTAAGCAACGGAGGAGGGCTGATTTGGAAGCTCATTATGCACACTTCGACGGAGATACATCGTGCAACCGTCAGCTCGCACACACACACACACACACACACACACACACACACACACACACACACACACACACACACACACACACACACACACACACACACACACACACACCGGCCGTACCTCGCGCAGCTCGCCGATGATTGCGTTGCAGCGGGCAATCTGGCAGAGGGCGCGCATACGGTAGCGGTCCTCCACAGACACATCCAGGTCCTGGTGGGGTGACGGGAAGACGGGATGGATGTTTGGGGAGGTGTTGGGGTGAGTGATAGGCAATTTGGGGGAAGAGGCAAAGGAGGAAGAGGGGGGGGGGGTCGAGGTGACGTACAGAACGGCGCGATGGAACGGCAGCAGGTCAGTGTGAGCGATACACGTGCATTACACACGGCAGCAGCTGTGTATTCACAAGTCCAGGCGTTTGGCAGTGTGCTTCGACAACCCTCCTCCCTCCACCCCAATCGGTGCACGGCTCACCATGGTGTGTTCCTTGAGGGCCTCCTGGTAGTTCTCCTTTGCATACAAGCTGGCGCCCTTCAGGCTGTGTGCAAGGCCGACAATCTCACGCTCATCGCGCGTCTCTGGGGATTTGATCACGCGCAGCACGTCCTCGCACGCCTCAATGCACTTGTCCGGACGCATGCTCCGGTACGCTGCAGCCGACGGTGGGCGGTGGTGGCAGTGATGATGATGTGAATCAAGAAAGTGTGCAATTACACATAGTATGCAGTAATTTTGTGTTCTGCTGGCCACACGATGTTGATACAATGCGCACAACAGAAGCAGCACCAACAAGAAGCAGCAACACACGAAGAACCAAACAACAACAGCACCAACAAGAAGCAGCAAACAACAACAGCACCAATCTAGCACCAAACCAACTTCAACAACAGGCATACACCGAGCAAGCACCAATCAGCAATCACGGGGCGCCTACCCTGGAGGGCGCGTTCGAGGTCGGACTGCGCCTTTGTCTTTGCCTCCTGCGTGACGGGCCGCTTTTTGGGCTTCCCCGCCGTGGCCATGCGGCTTGTGCGGGTGCTGATGCGCCCCTTCTGCTCCTTACGCTCCTGCTCCCGCACGTAGATGGGCTTCTGCTGGCGCCAAAACTCGGTGCGCTTGTCGAGGTACTGCAGGCCCGAAGCCGCCAGCGTCTTGATGTCGCCGCCCTGACCCAGGCGCAGGCTCGGGTCGTTCACCAGCGACTGCACGCCACAGAGGTGGACAGAAAGGCCAAGTTAGGCAGCGGTGAGGTGAGAGTGAGAGTGAGTGAGTGAGAGTGAGTGAGAGTGAGTGAGTGAGTGAGAGAGTGAGTGAGAGAGTGAGTGAGAGAGTGAATGAGTGAGTGAATGAGTGAGTGAGTGAATGAGTGAGTGAGTGAGTGAGTGAGTGAGTGAGTGAGTGAGTGAGTGAGTGGGTGTGATATCGGTTGAGAGTCATCATGTCTCTTGCCGTTGTGCCAACATGACACCACCACCACCACCACCACCACCACTACCATCAATACACCACCAGCACTACCATCTTCAAGCACCGGCAGTGCATGCACCTCGAGGTAAGCGCGGTCAGCATAGAGCTCGCCAAGCAGCTGCTTGACGGTCTTGTCGTTGGTCTGCGGGCCAGGTCGTGCGCTGCGGTTACGGGCCGTGCCCTTGCGCCGCTGCCCACCAACGCGCTTCTTGCCCGCTGTTGCCTCCAGCCCTTGGTGGAACATCGTCAGGTCACCCTCTGTCGTCAGCGTGCACTTCTTCGTGCCTGCGTTAGCACGGTTATGCGTAGCCGTGATGGTGACAATCGGTCCCTCAGGTGAGCGCCAAATCACAATTGACGAAGCACACGTGCAAACGGTGCACGCACAAACAAATAAACAAACAAACAAACAAACAAAAAAACAACACAAAATTCACGACACACGATCCAAGATACATAATACACGACATACACTCTACGTGCACACAGAAGCAAACAGCAAAGCGCAGTGAACAAGCCCGATTCCACATGCACACGCACTTCCGATGGCGTTGTCGATGGCCTCCCGCGCCTTCTGAATGCCAAGCTTGAACTTCTTCATGTCGGGCCTCATCTGGGGGACACACACGTCCACAGCGCACATTATAACACATTGCAGAAGACCGGGTTGATGAGCAATTGTGATGTCGTCAATGATGTGGAATTTGTAGGTACTTCAAGCAAGCACAAACGTGTACGCGCACACAAACACGCACAGACACATGTACCTGGTTGCCAATGTGATAGAAGAGGAGCGCAAACTCAAAATCGCCCTTGAAGTAGAGCGCTTCCGCTTTGGCATAGATGCCCTGTGTGAAATTGGTGGCATGCAATACGCACGTGAGATGCGCAGACAACAGGTGACCCGTCTCGCACCACAAACGCCAGCTCCAGCCGAGCCTAGATGCGAAACACAACTCAAAACAGGCATGGGCGACCAACACGACCAAACCCAAAGCATGAGGTTGCTCTAACCGTAATGAGATCCTTGTCCATGTTAAGGGCAGACTCGGCATCTTGCAGCGCCTCATCGTGCTGGCCAATCTTCAGATAGCACCGTGATCTCATGCAGTAGCAGTGCTTGCCAATGTCATCCTGCAGCACACCGCCCACAGAGATTGCCTCCAAGGCCTGCCAACAAAGGGAGAAACACAACACAAACAGTCAGTGAAAGATATAAGGCAATCACACCAGGCCAACCATGTTGGATCTGTGGCTGTGCCTTTGCGTGGATACGTGTGCGTGTGCGGGCGTGTGCGGAGTTGGAAACGAAACGCATATCGGTGATAACCTCGTGCTGCCAATAACAGCGGGAACGATCAACCCTGTCGTCGAAACACAGACACAGACACACACACACACAGACACACACACACACAGACACACACACAGGCATACACAGACAGACACACACACACACAAACAAGCAAGCGCACAGCAGTTGCAGCACCTGTGTGTAGCACTCCACGGCCTGGGCATAGTTTGAGCCTTGCTCAAAGGTCTGCCCTTCTGCCATGAACTTGTTGTATTCCGCCATGCTCACTTCGCCTCCCTCCGCCATGGTTGCGGTTGTGGTGGTGGTGTTGTTCTTGTGGTGGTTGTCTCTGCCTGCGTCTGCGTTTGCGTTCAGGTTCAACACATGCACACAAGGATCACGGGTACGTGTTCGCACAGGGTGAAGCGTGAGAACGGGGAAAATACACGTCAGTTCGTGTGTGTGGGTGTGTATGTTGCAGCAAGGTGAGCGACTGCTGTTGGTTGCAGTTACAAGCAGCAGAAGCAGCAGCAGCAGCAGCAGCATCATGGACTTCAACCGAGCGAGCCATCAGCACACCAACACACCAACACACCAGCACACCACCAACAAAGCAGCAAAGGCTCTTCTCGCTCTCTCGCCTGCCTGCTTGTTGTCTTGGATGCTTGACGACGATTGTGCAGATCGTTGGTGAATATTATTACACAGTTTTCTACACTGCCTGGTCTCGCGCACGACACCACAAATCTACCAGCAACACAACTGCCACCGCAGCAGCAGCTCAACCGTCCAACACACACCACACTCGCACACACCGCGTTCACATCGCACCAGCCAGCCAGCCGCACGAACAACAACATCATGGGGAATGGCATGAGCGTGGATGTCCCTGGGGGAGGATCCGAGGGATATCAAGTGCTGAAGGTGCAGCCAAACTCCCCCGGTGCCTTGTCGGGACTTGAGCCGTTCTTCGACTACATCATCGCCATCAACGACCAGCGCTTGGTGCGTGCCTGTGTGTGTGTGTGTGTGCGCGCGCGTGTGTGTGTTTGTGTGTGTTGGAAGGGAGGGAGGTGGATACGTGGAAACAAGAAGACACGGAGTGGCCAGTGTGTTGTGGTTGGAATTTGGAATGTGCTGACGCTCGCTTGAACTGCCATCTGTGATCCACGCTGTCTCCCTGCCACACATACATGCACACACGTATGTCCGCTCACACATGCACACATGCACACATGCATACATGCACACACGGACTGCCTTGTGTGATGGCAGACACACGGGGATGAGCTGAGGACGATTGCTGCAAAGAACGTTGGCCAGGCACTGCGCCTTCTTGTGTTCTCAAGCAAGGATCAATTTGTCAGAGGTGCGTGGATTCATCGTGACACGCGTCTTGCTGCTTTTCATGTCACAGCAGCCAGGCATGTGTTCATGCATGTGCACCGCGTGTGAGTGCGCGATCCATATTTGGCCCTGCCCTCATGAACGTGCTGTGCGCGCCTGCGTGCCGTGCCGTGCCGTGCTTGTGTTGGACAGAGGTTTCGCTCGTGCCTCGCGACAACTGGGGTGGCGATGGCTTGTTGGGCATCAGCGTGCGCTTCACCTCATTTGAAGGTGCCTGCGAGAACGTCTGGCACATCCTGGTAAGCACTGACTGGGTGTGCCTGGCACTGCGTGTGCTTTGCATTGTGTGTGGGCCTGCCTGCTTGCCTGCCTGCCGTGTGTGTGTGTGTCTGTGTGTGTGTGTGTGTGTCTGTGTGTGTGTGTGTGTGTCTGCCTGTCTGTCAGTCTGCCTGTCTGCCTGTCTGCCTGTCTGTCTGTCTGTCTGTCTGTCTGTCTGTCTGTCTGTCTGTCTGTCTGTCTGTCTGTCTGTCTGTTGGTGTCCACGTGGGGGAATGGCTGGTCCTGGCCTCGGTTGAATGAGTGCTGGCTGGTTTGACGTTCTTAAACTGCGGTTCAACTGCCGCCTCTGCTGTGACTGCCACTGTCGCTCGGGCGACGCCAACGCAGGATGTGCAACCCGGCTCGCCGGCCGCCATGGCGCAGCTGCAGTCCAACACGGACTACGTCGTCTGCGCCGACCACCCGCTCGAGGACCGCGAAGACTTGTACGTGTGTGTCTGTGTCTGTATTTCTCTGTCTCTCTGTATCCGTGCATATGCGTGTGTGTGTGTGTGCCTGTGTGTGTGTGCCTGTGTTGTGTGTCTGTGCGCCTGTGTGTGTCTGTGTAATGACGAGGACGCATATGTGTGGGTCTGCTGCGTACGTTTGTGTGGATTGGAACCAGTCACTACGCCTAACATCATGGTCACGTGCACCTACTTATTGTTTGCTCAGCTTCCACCTGATTCAAAGCCATGACCGCAAGCCGCTGCGCCTCTATGTCTACAACTCGGACACAGACAGCTGCCGGGAGGTGGTCATCACACCAAACTCCCAATGGGGCGGCGAGGGCATGTGCGTTCAGATTCCTTGCTCGCTCCTTCGCTTGCTCGCTTGCTCGCTTGCTCACTCCTTTGCTTGTTCCGCTGCGGCTCATGTGTTCTTGGGGGAGGTGCATGCATTCTTGTGTGCATGCACGCTCAGTTGCGGATCGAGTGCTCTGTGACCGTGTGTTGCGTGTTTATCGCACTGGTGTGACCGCTCGGTGCGAGAGCATGTTCATTTACGCACACACATGTGCACGACTGACATACTGTGGCTGTTGCTGTAATTGCTCATAGGCTGGGCTGTGGCATTGGCTACGGCTACCTGCATCGCATTCCCGCCAAGCACGCACGCTCCACAGAGAACGTAGGCTTTCGCGTGCGCGTATATGTCCGTGCGTGCACGTGCGTGCGTGTGTGTATGTGTGAGCGAGAGGAGGGAGAGGGAGCGAGAGAGTACGTGTGTCTGTGTGCGTGTGTGTGTGCGCGCTCAGCAAACATACTGTCATTACCCACCACGAATAACCTCCACCATTCCCCAATGTTTAGACGGGAACAACACGCGCTGTGGCCGTGCCAGCCGTTCCAATGTCATTCAACAACGGTCAGTATATGTTTGACAAACTCGAGCGCTCTGCTTTGTGTCTGCATGCATCTTTTCTCTCTCTTGCACTTCGTTCTCCGCTTTCCGTCCACCCCCATCAAAGGTCGTGTCGCTCCCATACACGTGTGCAGCTCACACGCACACACACACACACACACACACACACACACACACACACACACACACACACACGCTCTCTCTCTCTCTTGCTCTCTCATGCACGCACGCATTTTCGTTTGACAAACTTCGTTGGTGTTTGCAGATGCATTTACGTCCATCTCTCTGGCCACGGTTGCACCAACGACATACAACCAGATGCAGCAGCAGTCCCATCAGCAATTCCATCAGCAATTCCAGCAACCACAGCACCACCAGCAACCACAGCAGCAACACCAACCACAGCAGCAACAAGGAAACGGTGCGGTGACCGTTGAAATGTCCGGGTCATCTGTCATGCCACCCTCGCTCATGACAGCAGCCCCGCCATCGGTCACAGATACACGCGCCACCACAACCAGTCAGGCTGCACCACCGACCTTCACCACCGCCACGACGACCCCATATGCAGCGCCTGTGCCTGTCTCACCCACCACCACAACCACCACTGGCAGCAGCACAACCAGCGCCACAACAGCAATATCAGTTCCAATACCCACCCCACCAGCAGCAGCAGCAGCAGCAGCAGCAGCAGCAGCAGCAGCAGCAGCAGCAGCAGCACGCGGTGTCCACCACATCAGGTATGACCATGCATCCTCACCCCACCATGCAGCAGCCACAACGGCAGGTGCAACAGCCACAGCAGCAAGCACAGCAGCACAGCGCACCGCCAATGCGTCAGTTCCAAGTGCCGGACGTGCGGTCCGGTGGCGTCTTCTCCGCTCCTGCGCACACGCGTGCACAAGCAACAGGGACAGCGGCGCCAACACTGTCGCCGTCGCTCGGCAACATGCCGCAGCTCGTGCCGGCAAAGCCTGCCCAAGTGGCGTGGTCTGGCAACGGAGGCACAAACGGCAGCAGCGCACCCGCGCCCACACTGCACCACCAGCTACAGGGCATGTCGCTTCACGCCGCCGCGCCAACAGCAGCAACAACAACAGCGCCGTCCGCAACTTCGTCTGGACACAGCGGCCGTGGTGTCTCCACCACATTCCGCTCGCTCGCTGACGATGGTCAGATGCAGCCTGCAAACATCACGCACTACACGTCTTCACAGCCGGCACCGCAGCCAAATGCTTGACGCGCGCGCGTGGCAAACATGTTCACCATGTTGTGTTGTTTCCCTTTGATCGCTTGCCTGCCCATGTAGCTTGTCAGCAGTGATGTGGAAGTGCTTGTTTGTGTATGTGTGTGTGTGTGTGCGTGCGTGCGTGCGTGCGTGCGTGCGTGCGTGCGTGTGTTTGTTTGTGCGAGGTTTGGGGCTGTTTCCGTCATGAGAGTGTTGTTGAATGCGTTACATCACTTTTGCTTCATTGCGGTGCGTTTTCTGTTGTGTCTATGTCCGTTTAGCAGCAACGAGAGATGCAACCAATCCATAGCCACACACACGGGTGGAAGTGCACGCGCACAATTGCAGACACGGCAAGGAAACAGTTGGGGTCGTGACATGCGAGCGACCAAACGCTAACAGCAACAACAGCACACACGTTGTTGTTGTGCCGGTGGCGAGAACAAGCGAGAAGCAAGCAGCCTGGCGGGAGAGGGGAGATGAGAAGAAAGCAACGCAGTCACGAAAGCACATGGTCAAGGTATCACGTTGGTTGGATGCTTATTTGGTCGAGTTCTCAGTCGCCATTCGCTTCAAATCGGCCACGTCTGTCTCCAGTGCTGCAACACGGCCATCCAGCCTGCACGCACACGTGCGAGGTATAGTTTGTTTGTGGGGTTGTGTTTAGTGTTGGGTGACGTGTACAAGGAGGACAAGGAGGGAAGGTGGGGGCCAAGACCAAACACAAGCAGGCCGCATCGGCAACCGCACAGCGTTAGACAGGACAGCACAGCACGCACAACACAAGCAAGCATCAACTCACGTTTTCAACGTGGATTGCAGCGAGGTGAAGCCAGTTTCCATCCTGTCTCCACCCACACACGACAAACAACAAGCGGCACCGAGAATCAGAGCAGGTCAAGGGTACGTGTGTATGCTTGTTGGCGGGGAGGAGAAGGTGGAGTGATTAACATTACAACAACCTACAAGGCGTGCAGGTCACACACACACACACACACACACACACACACACAAATACATGCACACACACACACACACACACAAATACATGCACATACGCACCCAGTTTGCAGCTTGAGCAGGAGATCTGTGAGCGCGGCCACGGACGCATCTGATGCCGTGTGGTCGTGGGCAGACGCCGACGTGGTGGTCGTGGTGTTCGTGGTGTTGGAGTTTGAAGTGGTGGTGGCATCTGGTGCTGGCTTTGCTGCCTCCTTTGCTGGAGGGCAGTGGGCGGACACCTGGTAGGAACGCGGAAGCAAGCACGTGAGGAACAATCGTAAGTGATGCAACAAGTAGATGTGAGTTGCTGAGTGGGATATCAAACATCACTGGGAAGCGCAGTTACGTTACACACACACACACACACACACACACACACACACACAAACACATATACATATACACACACATACACGCGCGCGCGTGCAGACGTACGGCGTTGACGATGGCGTCTGCATCGGCTGCAAAGTGGTCGTTGTCGAAGTGAAGATCACAGCACTCGCGACCCGCCATGAGCGTGTGCAGCCACCCATCGGGCTCGTACCCCTCCTCCACCCGCACAAACACCACATCGCGGCGGAGGTGCTGCGCGTACTCGCTCTCGGATCGGCACGACGCGCTCTCCTTGAACTCGGCGCACACGCACATGACAACGACGGCGGCGCTTTCCACCGCGCGCGCCATTGCATTGAGTGTGTCACCGGAGGAGTCAGCAATGCCGAGGTGGCACAGAAATCCGCTCGTTTGCAAGTACTCAGCAAGGCGCGCAAGCCGTGGCCGCCTGTGGCAGTGCACATTTGTAGGTTTGCGTGGTGAGTCGTGCATGGGTGCGTGTTGCATGGGTGCAGGAGATGCGCGAGAGAGGAAGCAACGCGCACACATGTAAACGCACACACATAAACAGAGGGGTACAACACATGCGTGCGACGCGATGTAGGACGGACCATTCTGCCGGACAGCAAATGAGCACGTGTCGGTCTTCTGTCTTCGTTTCGGCCTTGTCAGCACCCTGACTCGGGCCGGCCTGAACACGTAGGTAGGGAAGGACGGTTTGCGCACAGATGCATGTGCGCGCGTGTGTGATAGAACAAGGGGACGGAATGTTGGGCCGAGAGAGAGTGTGTGTGTATGTGTGAGGGAATGAACAAGGAGTGATTGCGTGCGTGCGTGAGTTTTGAGGTGCCCTGTTGATGGTGAAGGATGTGAGCGACATGATGTGCTTGCACTCACAAGGCGTTGGTGGTGTTGGAACAGGGCGTGCTCCGCCAGCGTACGCGCCTAGATGCAAAAGCACGCAAATGTTGAGGAAGGTACAGAAACCGAAAGCAGGGATGAGAGAAACGCGTTGGGGGAAGCGGGAAGATGCTAATAAGGGACATTTGGTGCACAAGAAATGCACACAAGTCAGTCACACTTCAAACACACGCACACACACACGCACACACACACGCACACACACACACACACACGCACACACACACACGCACACACACACACAGAGTGGACGCACCTCCTTTGACGGCGAACGGGAGCGAATGTCCTCCAACAAGGCAACGAGATCCATGTCAAAGTCTGCTTCAAGGTTAAAGGCAAAGCTCATGTTGAGCAGCAGTTTTGCCGTGCATTCATCGACGAGCGCGCCCTTGGCACCAACCTGCCACCAGTGGCATATGATCGTGCACATGCGCACGCGTCCGAAACACGCAAATGTGAGCCTTTCATCGTGAATCCACAGCCCAGCACACACACACACACACACAAGAGCATGTAATTATCCACACGAACACACGTTCACGCACTCACACCCACATATGCACCTCAGCACGCACCCTGTATCCCTTGCAGGTGACATCGACGCATCCCGTGTCCTTGAGCAGTTGCTTGTTTGAGTCTGAGATTGAGAGTTTCGCCAAGCTCGGCAGGAGCAGCTCCTCCGTGTACACCGCGCCGTGGAACTGCTGCCCAGCGCGCGCATGCTGACCGTGGTGGTGGTGGTGGTGGTGGTGGTGACAGCGGTGGTAGTAACAGCGGTGGTGGTGGTGAGAAAACGCCGGTGATGTTGGCGGTAGTGTTGGTGGTGGTGGTGGTGGGGAAGGAGGGCTGGTGAGTGGTTGGATATATCAGTCAGTATGCTGGTGTGGGCCGTGTGCGTGGGTGTGCAGGAAGCAAAACGGCAGGACTGTGTGCGCAGCGCGGACACAATCATCTCTGTAACTTTGTTGTTACCTCGAGGCATTCTATCAAGATGCCAAACAAGCTTGTGTCGCCTTGCAGCAACGGATGGTTCTCAATGGTTCCAATCAGGTTGGCAAGCCCAAGCATGGCGTTGATTGGCTGGCGCTCGGGGTTCTGCGGGATCAAGACGCATGTTGGCGAAGGAAGAGGCGGTTGAATGTGAGGTGATGCAATGGTGTTTGCAAGACATGCACTCTGCATCGTAGAGGAACCACAATGATGGCACACGCATTCAAATCGTGCCACAACGCAAACACACACACACCGCGCTCACGCACCTTTGAGACCATGAGGTCGTGAAGAATCTCTGGAAGACCAAAATCGCAGAGGAACTGCACGTGTTTGCGGTCGGCGTGTGCACTGATGCAGCACAGCATGCCAACAAGCTTTCCTTTTAGCGAGTCGCCGTAGATGCGCTTACTGCTCAAAACACGACCAATAGCAGGCCAACAATGTGGATGTGAGAAACCATTACGATCATGCCACATGCAGCATGCGTGCGTCCTGTCTCACACGAACACACACACACACACACAACACACACAAACACACAAACACACACACACAACACACACACACACATACGACGCACTCAAAGTCGACGGAGTTGTAGATGGCGAGGATGCGGGGGAAGAAGTTGTTCTCGATAACGTAGTTTGCGGACGCGGGGCAGGCCGTGATGTTCCACGCAGCGTACCCAGCCTGCACCACACAAAGCACGCCAAAGGCAACACGTACACACACAAGCGAGGCAAGAAGAAATGCATGCACATGTGGGTAAATATGTTATTCAAATGTGTGCACATATGTGCGTGCGAGTGTGTGCGCATGTATGTGTGCGTGTGTGTGTGTGCGTGGAAAGGGAGGCCTGGCAAGACAAGCGTGAGGGCGTAGCAGGTGAAGTGAGGTCACCAACGCCACTGG